GGGGGGGGGGGGGGGGGGGACAGAGGTGACAGTAGACGTGGGAGACCCTGCACAGCCTCAGCCCAGGCTCTGCGGGAAGAAGGCTCTTGCCTCTCCAGAGCGTCGGGGTGGGCCAAGCAGCAGTGCACACGGAAGGAGGGTGCTAGCCTTATTGTGAATTTTTTAATGTCATCATCATAACGTTATTTATTTAAATGTAGTTATTTTGGTATTTAATTTTTTTTAAAGAGAGGAAAAAATACCTGTATTTTCCTGGTAGAATGAAATGGCTCAGAAAGGTATATTTAGGCAATTTAAAAACATTTATTATTTACATAAAGACCAAATATGATAAATCTGTTCTAAGTATTGTGTGTCAATCCACAGTATGGCGCTGTCACAATGTTACTGCAGATAATGCATATTAAAAATTATGAAATTACTGCAAACTAGCTGGATTTATAACTCAGCCATTTAAAAAATAAAAGTGAATCCATCATGTGAATGAGACCATGTGTGTGACAGGAGCGAAATCTGCCTTACAGCTGAAGCACCCTGATGGATACAGCACGTCGGTGCAGCGACCTGCCTACTCCAAGCACTTTACAGATACTTTGCAATGTATATTTTTGTCTTCTCAGTCAGAAGGTTTGCAGTTTGCAAAATAATACAGATTGTGCTGCATTGTGTGCATGGCCTCAGGTCACTCCACAGAGTAGGTCCAGATCTGCCGGTCACAGCTAACATGTCCTTTGACAGCAGCCGGCCCTCAAGCTCTGGGTCGTGCAGTCAGGTGGTTGGCTTGGGGATTGGGCGACACTAAGCAGGTACTTGTGGAGATGTTTGTGCAGAAGTGCACGTTGCCATCCAGAAAGGCCCAGATGGATTTTTCCTACATAAGCTCAGTCCATAAACTGGTTACTTCTGAGCCTAAAACACAGATTTTATGGTCTGGAGGGGCTTCTGTTGGGGTCACAGGCTGAGAAGAATGCCCAGCTCTGCAGTGTTAAGGTAGGAGGATTCTTTTTCTTTTTGCTGTAAGGCAGCGTTCTCCACCTCGACTCCAGGCTACAGTGCACCTTGTCAGATGCCAGGCACACTCTCCTCTCTGCTGTGTTCGCTTTGCATCTTCATGGGCACATAAGAATTGAAGAATACCAAGGAGTGGGCAGAAACAACCGTGGATTAGCCAACGACCGTACCCCGGGTGTTCTTTCCAGTCTTTATGGCGCTTTTTTTTTTTTTTTTTTTTTTTTTTTTTTTTTTTTTTTTTT